CTAGCTTCTTTATTGCTTTTCAATTTGCATTTTAGGTAGATTTATTTTCATGCTTTTCCTCAGTTAATTATTATCTCAATCATCTGATTTAGAGTGTTTAGGGTTATTTTCTCTTCTTGTGTTATCAACACCATTTGCTAAATTCCGAACCGCCTTCCTCGAGAGACACAACCCGGTGTTCGAATCTTTCGATTCTACTCCGGAAAAATATTTACAACAATTTGGCGCCGTTGCCGGGGAAGGCAAGTAGGATATTTAGTTTTGGTGTTTGATCTTATTTTCTGTGTTTCTCTTTATTTTAGTATTTTTAGTGTTTTTGTTCCTTTTGTGCATTTGTGTTTTTCTCTTCTATTCTTGTTTTAGTTTTTATCTTCTTTTCTCTTCCATTTTTCTTGGCTACGTGTGGTTGTTTTGTTCTGGTGTGCAGGTACAATGAATTTCAATCACGGGTACTTCTCCCTGCACGACCCCTCTTGGAACAACGAGCCAGTCTATTTCCCCGGGTACCACTCCCAACCGTACCCTTATTCTTTCGAGCAGTGCTGGAACCATCTTCCGGTCGAGCAAAATTATGAGGCCCTTAAGTTCAACAAAAAGCTCGACCGAATTATTGAGTTCATAGATTCCCAAGCAGCTCGAGAAAGAGAGGCCGCATACCATGCGAAGCTCGACCAGATCCTGGCTTTTATAGAATCCAAAGAAGAAGAGGTAGCCTACAATGCAAAGCTCGATCAGATTCTTGATACTTTGGCATCCCAAGCTACCCGTAAGAGAGATCTAGAGTTCCAAGTTGAGAGCTTAATGGAACGCGTACATGCCATAGAGGATCGAGTTGATAATCCTTCTCATGAGTTCACCATGGAACACATATCTACTCACGAGGGTGAACTCCGAGAGACAACATTAGCGTACGATGCAAATCTCGACCTCATTCTTGCTCGCATGGCGGCTCAAGCAACTCGAGATGAACAGATTGAGCTCGGGTGTGCTCAGTTGAGTGCACGAATGGAGAGCCTCACTGCACGTCTCGATTCTACTGAGGCACAAGCCGCCGACCCGCACTCCATGCTTGACCCCCAGGCTCAGATTCTGCAGCGAATGTGCGAGGCCGAAGAGGATGACATGCCCCTACGAGCCTGATATGATTCATTAGAGGAGGATGACAATTCACAAGTCCCTCCTCCCACATTCAAGTTGGAGCATCCACCTTCGAGTCCATCGCACTACTTTACGAAGGGGATAGTACTTTACTCGGATTGCTCCATTTACGTGCCATTCGTTGTCGAGGTTGGCGAGAGATCTCAGCTGGGGAAGGTTCTATTCCAAACATTGGGGAATGCTCGTGATCAGACAAATTGCATTCAGAACATAGCCACTCGTGTCCACAGTGCCCATCTTCTGGACTTAGTGCCAGCACTACCACTTCTCGAAAATACGAAGGCGTGGCACGACCGTCATTTCTTCCTAGATCCTGGTTGAGTTCCCCTCAGGTTTCGTCAAGCTAATGACGTTAAACAAGCACTTCTTGGGAGGCAACCCAAGTGATTTACTGCTTTCGTAGATATTTTCTTTTATGCTTTTTAGTTTTATTCTTTGAATAATGGGAGTTTTGGAGTTTTGTGTTTTTCTTAGCAGGTACGAGATTACGAGCTCGAGCATGAGGATTGTGTTGAATGAGGATTATCGAGGTTCTGGGGCTAAGCATAGGGGGGCGACTTGCACGTGAATGTTTGATCTCCTCGAGGCGTTTCGGTTTGCACACCCTTTTCCTTTTTCTCTTTTTGAGTTCTCTTTCTTTCATCTTTTCTTTTGATCTTGTGTTCTTGTGGTAACTGCTAGTGTTGGTGCGCTATATGAAAGTGCTAGATCCTATTATTTGATTCCATGTTTTGAGTTGAAGCAATGAGGTCATTGCCTTATTTTAAGTGTGGGGGAGTCTAGTTGTATTTTGCATACTTATATGGTGAACCGGTCTAGCTTTAGGATTTTGTGTGTTTTGCGAGTATGGATTATGGTGAATTTTAAGATTTGTTGATGATTGTTAATGATGTTGAGGAGATGTGATGATGATCATGACCAGCATATTTTGATGAACTTGATGTGTCATTTTGTTGCACATTATCTACCTTATGTGAGGATTTGAGCCTTATTTTGTTTCTTGAGAGGTATTGGTCGAATTCTTGTTGATCAGAACTTGCTTTGAGGTTAT